ATCTTTCCAGATATCAATCTATCCGATGTGGATCCACCGCCCCTCCTTCGTCAAAGATCAGACTTCCATTTTCTGTTGCAGACAACAGAATAAGATTTTTTTTGCATTTCTACAAATTTTGATTCCGTAGAAAGCAGTACAGTTTTCTCCATTTCTGAAGAATACCCATCTTTTTTTCTTTTGGGTGGTGAGAGAGTGAGTGTGAGTGTGAGTGTTCAGAATATAAACCCTAATTTTTCATTTGACAAATGTTAATTTTTTTTCCGATTAAATTTGTCCCTTGTAATCGAAACAGCAATCACATTTATGCAAGAGAAACATCAGTAGAAAGAGAAATCACCAAGTGCAAATCAATCTATTTTCTCTATCCCAATTTCTTCGCTACTGATCAAAACCATATACTGTAGATAATTAAAAAAGAAAGAGAATTTTGGTAATTTTCTTCTGAGTTTTTCCCCCTTTTCGGTGTGTTAGGCTTTGTTTGGGTTAGAGTTTTTCTGGGTCTTTTTTTTTTTAGTATTCGCGCCAATTTATTCAATTTCACATGATCAATTTAATTTAACATTGTGGAATAATTACAATTTTGGTCCCTCTATTATACCCTTTTCTATTTTGGCCCTTACATTTTTTGTGACACGAAATTTGTCCTCAAATAACTAATTTTTTTTACAACTTTCGTCCACCGTTTAAAACTGTTGTTAGTTTGGACGGAAAATTCCCGTCGAGGCACGTGGCAATTCACATCAACCCCTTCATTTTACCTATATTATTTATTTAGTCCCAATAAAATGTAGAGAGTAAATGAAAATTGATATAAATTTTAATCATAAAATCCATTATAAAGAGTAACTAATTCAAAGGTCGTAAGACAAAATTTAAAATAAAATAAATAACTACAACATTGTCAGCAACAAGCAAAACCAACGCTATATATATTTCGTATATAAAAGTGATGATGCTAAAATGTAGCTCACCTAGGGTAGTGTAGAAAACGAACTGGGAGAGCAAAGCAGATCAGTAGCTTGACAACTTGATGATCCTGAGGTACCTGCGAAATGAACACACGTGAACTACGCCGGGGGTTGATCCGGCGGAAACCCCTCCGACGCTCAAGTCAGACGTGCTGATCATAGAAATAGTCCAGAGAATATACATTTTGTAGTATTACTCAATAATAGGACGTACCTTAAGGAATGAATTCAAACCTTTATTTATAGCTTAGTTGAGATTGTCGGGCACAAACCTTACTTGAAGGTGATTAGGCCTTGGTGATAATGGTCTTCGATATAGAGCTCGTGGCCCAGTAGGTAAATAATTTGTA